TGTGCTTCAACTGAAGAGCAACCAAGATTGTGTGGAAACACCCTGATATTTTTAAAGACATTGTACTCAGAATGGGAGCGTTTAACACAATTTGCACTCTTATCTATCCTGGGAAAGCACTTCCAAGATGCTAGCCCTAAGAACATTTGTATTGAGTCCGGAGGGATCAATTTCTGGGGTTCTTAATAGACACAGGTACAAATGTGCCATTCAATTCCATATACTAATGTATTAAGCCCTTCAGAGACTTGCTTGGGAAGGATTTTAGGCATGGATTGAAAAAATACCCTGACAAGAAGATATTTGTCCAAGATTTTTTCAATGGTCTAATGCCACTGTACAATGATATATGTCAGAGGGAATTCAATACAGTCATGTCAAGTCAATGGTTCTCAGAGTTCACTGTGATTTATGACAAGTACCTGGACTACCTTCGTGGCAGTGATGGGAAGCTGTCTAGCTTCTGGATGTCTTATATTGGTATGGTAGAGATTCTTCTGAATTTGCTGAGAGCATCCAGAGAGGTAGACTGGGAGCTACATCTATTAGCCATTAGAAAAACCACTCGTTGGCGTTTTGCTTGTGACAATCTTAACTATGCTCATTACTTGTTGGCATATGTCTCTGAGATGTCTCACCTGGAGGAAGGAGACCCAGAAGCTTTCAAATATCTAAAATCTGGAGGGTGTTCAGTCCAGATAGGGGAGAACAACCCCTTCAGAAAAGTTCCTGTTGACCAAACATGCAAAGAAACTGTAAATAAAGACACAAAGAGAGCAGGGGGCACCAAAGGATTCAGCCTTAAAGCAGGAGCAAGTACTATCTGGTTGTTGAATATCGCAGTATCTTGCTGAAGCTGATGGAGGACATGTTAGACTTGAACAAATCGATTTGCCAGCACGCAGATCTCCAGAAAACCATAATTGTAAGAGATGAGACAGATGTTAAGTCCCTGGTAGCAATACTCCAAAGCCACTGGCTTGACCCATTCACCAGTGTGCAGCAAGATCTGGTTTGTCTCTCCCCTGGAAAAGTGGCCCCTCCAAAGATACAACAAGATTTGCTTACTGCTAAAGCTGTTGGAGAGAAGGCATACCAAACCTTTCATATAAAGCGACTAAAGTCACAGCCATCTCAAATCAAGTTCCACGACACAATCACCAAAGCAAAGCTGCAAACATTTACCAAGCTGAACAAAAAGGTGCATGTCCAGAACAAAATGTCCAAAGAGATTATCTGAAAGCTGATAGAAATCTATTTGCCCAGATGATATTAATAGCTGAAAACAGAAAACTTCAAATGAGGGAAGTTCCAAGTCATCCACTAGGGCCCCTTCCCTGGGCGTGATCCACTGCTGATGAAGAAAAACAAACAAGGCAGCTTTATCAAAAGAAATGCAAAAATGTGTTCCAGCTGCAGACATGGTCCTGCAACCATCAGCATGTGTAATAGATGCTATGACCCTCATACAGAGACTCAAAGGAGACCACAAGACGTTTGTCAAGGTGGCTGATTCTCTACTAGGCTTGGCGCTGCGCGAAGGGTCTAACTCTGGGTGAACAGATGTTGTACTTGATGTATACAAAGAAATCTCCATCAAAAATGCAGAAAGAGATAAGAGGGAAGCAGAATTTGGCAATGAATTTAGAAACATTCAATCCGAACACAAATTGCAGAAGTGGAGAAAGTTCCTTTTGAATCCAACAAATACAAAGGCCTTCACAGAATTTGTGGTAAAGGAGTGGAGACAGGATAGATCTGAGACAAAGTTGACAGGCAAGGTACTTTTCGTGACATGTGAAAGTGACTGTTATGAGAGTACCTCAGAAGCTTCCAATACAGTTGAAGAACTCAACTCCACACGGGAAGAAGCTGACATTAGGCTTATTCTACATGCAGCCCATGCAGCTAGATCAGGCCACAAGGCAGTGGTTGTGGCATCAGAAGATACAGACATATTCTTACTTTGCCTGGCATTTAAGTGCTTTATTCTGGCATCCATGCATGTCAAGTGTGGAGCGCAGACAAGAATTAGATATGTCAGTATCTCCAGTGTGGTGGGAGCTGTAGGAGGTGAACTTTGCAAATGCCTTATTGGCATGCATGCTTTCACTGGTTGTGACACTGTGAGTGCATTCACTGGAAGGGGAAAGATAACAGCCCTACGACTTGACAAGCAGCAGAAATCCTACAAAGAAATGTTTAAGCAGTTAGGGATGGAATGGGTGCTTTCGAATGAGCTATTTCAGAGCCTTCAAGAGTTTACATGCTTTCAGCCAGGAACTGATTACATCAATGAGCTGAGGTACAGGTTATTCTGCGTCAAGAAGGGTAACATCGATTCCACCCAGTTACCACCATGTGCTGACTACTTGCTTAAGCATGCTTCTCGAGCAAACTTCCAAGCAGCCATTTGGAAGTGAGGTCTGCAATGCTACCCTCTGACACCCGCCCTCTGACTGGCAGGAAGACAGCAATAACTTTGCCATTGACTGGATGA